TACTTCCCAGGACTTGCTCCCCCCTCCCCTACTCCCCAGGACTTGTTCCCCCTCCCCTACTCCCCAAGACTAGCTCCCCCTCCCCTACTCCCCAAGATTAGCTCCACCTCCCCTACTCCCCAGGACTTGCTCCCCCCTCCCCTCCTCCCCCGGACTAGCTCCCCCCTTCCCTACTCCCCAGGACTTGTTTCCTCCTCCCTCCCCTACTCCCCAGGACTAGCCCTCCCTCCCCTACGCCCCAGGATTTGTTTCCTCCCCTTGCCACGGTAAAATAGGGCTGAGTCAGCATAGTTTCGTCAAGGGGAGGTCATGCCTGACAAACCTGTTAGAATTCTTTCAGGATGGAACAAACAAGTTAGACAGAGAGCCAGTGCATATGATCTATTTGGATGTTCAGACAGCCTTTGACAAGATTCCACACAGGAGGCGGCTAAATAAGGTTAGAGTCCATGGCATTAAGGGCAAGGTATTGGCATTGATAGAGGATTGACTGACTGGCAGAAGGCAGGGAATAGGAATAAAGGGGTCTTTTTCAGGATGCAATTTTACAGGGCCTTGGTGAGACCACACCTGGACTATTGTGTACAGTTGGGGTCTCCTTATCTGAGGAAAGAATTTCTGATTCTTGAGGGAAGTTTTACCAAAACTGTTCCCTGGGAATGGCAGGACTGACCTATGAAGAGAGACTGGATTGGTTAGGAATATTCATTGGCGTTTGGAAGAATGAGCGGCATCTCAGAAACCTATAAAATTCCAACAGGATTAGACAGGAAAAACACAGGAATGATGTTCCCAAGGAGTCCAGAGCCAGGGGTCACAGTCTAAGGATATGGGGTAGGGCATTTAGGACTGAGATGAGGAGAAATGTCTTCACCCAGAGAGTGGGGAGTCTGTGGAATGCTCTACCACTGAAAGTGGTTAAGGTCAAAACTTGAACGTTTTCAAGAAGTAGTTAGATATAGTTCTTGGGGCTAAGGGGATCAAAGGGTATGGGGAGAAACAGGGAACAGGAGATTGAGTTGGTTGATCAGCCATGATCATATTGATTTGGACAACAAACTCAAAGGGCTGAATGGCCTACTTCTCCTCCTATTTTCTCTGTTACCATGTCCACAAATGTTTTATTTATTCTTTTATGGGAAGTGGGCATCACTGGTAAGGCCAGTATTCATTGCTTACCCATAAGTTCTCCTAAACCGAGAGGCTTGCTGTTGGTCTGGAGTTACATGGAGACCAGACCAAGTAAGGACAGCAGATTCCCTTCCCAAGAGGACATTGTGAACCAGCTCAGATTTTATGATGATGAATAAATGGTTCCTATATTCTGCTTCAGATTTAATTGAATTTAAAATACCACCAGCTGTCGTGGATGGGATTTGAACTCATGCCCTCACAGTGTCAACCTCAGGATCATGTGCCCAGTGAGTTTATCACTACTCCACCATCACAATTATTACGTGCTGCCCAGCCATGATTTCGATTATGTTACAGGACAGTAGTAACTGTAAGACATTAGCCACATGATGTCAGACTTTCCCATCTGTCCAATCTGGAATGTTAATTGTCTTATTAATTGTCCAGTCTCTCCACTGTAACATAAATACAGTAGTTTTCAGAACAATTAACATCCATCTTAGAGAGCAAACATTCTCTCCACTGAAGCTAAATACAAAACACATTAAATGTAATTAAGTCTGCAATTACGCTGTCACATCTGTTAATGCAAAGCTGTTTTTTCATAGGCGTTGATGCAAATGGCAAAACTGTGTCCCTCAAATATCAGATTTCAACTGAATTACCGCACATAGTCATAGAGTCATAGAGATGTACACTGAAGCAGACCCTTCGGTCCATCTCGTCCATGCTGACAGATATCCCAAATTAATCTAGTCCCGTTTGACAGCATTTGGCCCCTATGCTTCTAAATTCTTCCTATTCATATACCCATCAGGATGGCTTTTTAAATGTTGTAATTGTACCAGCCTCCACCACTTCCTCTGGCAGTTCATTCCATACATGCACTACCCTCTGTGTGAAAATGTTGCCCCTTAGGTTTTTTTTAAACCTTTCCACTCTCATCTTAAACCTATGCTCTCTAGTTTTGGACTCCCCCACCCTGGGGAAAACATCTTGTCTATTTACCCTCTCCATGGTCCCATGATTTTACAAACTTCTATAAGGTCACCCCTCAGCCTCTGACGCTCCAGGGAAAACAAATCCAGCCAATTAATCCTCTCCCTATAGTTCAAACCCTCCAACCCTCGAAACATCCTAATAAATCTTTCTTGAACCCTTTCAAGTTTCACATCTTTCCTATAGCAGGAAGAACAGAATTGCATGCTGTATTCCAAACACGGCTGAACCAATGTCCTGTACAGCTGCAACATGACCTCCCAACTCCTGTACTCAATGCATTGACCAATCAAAGGCAAGCATAGCAAACGCCTGCTTATTTACCTGTGAATCCACTTTCAAGGAACTATGAACTTGCACTCCAAGGTCTCTTTGTTCAGCAGCACTCCCCAGGACTTTATTATTAAGTGTATAAGTCCTGCCCTGATTTGTCTTTCTAAAGTGCAGCACCTCACATTTATCTAAATTAAACTCCATCTGACACGCCTCGGCCCATTGGCCCATCTAATCAAGATCCCGTTGTACTCTGAGATAATCTTCTTTGCCGTCCACTACATCTCCAATTTTGGTGTCACCTGCAAACTTACTAACCATCCCTTCTATATTCACATCCAAATCATTTATATAAATGACAAAAAGCAGTGGACCCTTGTGGCACACCACTGGTCACAGGCCTCCCGTCTGAAAAACAACCCTCCACCACCACCCCCTGTCTTCTACCTTCGAGCCAGTTCTGTATCCAAATGACTAGTTCTCCCTCTATTCCATGTGATCTAACCTTGCTAACCAGTCTAGCAGAAGGAACCTATTCGAATGCCTTACTGAAGTCCATATAGATTACATCCACTGCACTGCCCTCATCAATCCTCTTCATTACTTCTTCAAAAAACTCAATCAAGTTAGTGAGACATGATTTCCCACGCACAGTCATTTTGACTATCCTTAATCAGTCCTTGCCTTTCCAAATACATGTAAATCCTGTTCTTCAGGATTCCCTCCAACAACCTGCCCACCATCGATGTCAGGCTCACTGATCTATAGCTCCCTGGTTTTTCCTTACCACATTTCTTAACTAGTGGCACCACGTTAGCCAACCTCCAGTCTTCCAGCACCTCCCCTGTGGCCATCAATGATACCAATATCTCAGCAAGGGGCCCAGCATTCACTTCCCTGGCTTCCCACAGAGATCTAGGGTACACCCGATCAGGTCCTGGGGATTTATCCTCCTTTATGCATTTTAAGCTATCCAGCACCACCACTTCTGTAATATGCACATTTTTCAAGATGTTGCTATTTATTTTCCCACATTCTCCATCTTCCATATCCTTGTCCACAGGAAACACTGATGCAAAATATTCATTTAGTATCTCTCCTATCTCCTGCGGTTCCACACATATGCAGCCTTGCTGATCTTTAAGGGGCCCTATTCTCTCCCTAGTTCCTCTTTTTTCCTTAATGTATTTGTAGAATCCCTTTGGATTCTCCTTAATCCTATTTGCCAAAGCTGTCTTATGTCGTCTTTTTGTCCTCCTGATTTCTCTCTTATATATACTTCCACTGCCTTTATACTCCTCTAGGGATTCAATCGATCTCTGTTATCTATTTTTAACATTTGCTTCCTTCTTACTCTTAACCAAAACCTCATTTTCTCTAGTTATTCAGCATTCCCTACACCTACCAACCTGGCCCTTCATCCTAACAGGAACACACTGTCTCTAGACTCTCATTATCTCATTTTTGAAGGCTTCCCATTTTCCAGCCGTCTCTTTACCTGCAAACATCCGCTCCCCCCAATCAACCTTTAAAAGTTCTTGCCTGATAGCAACAAAATTGGCCATTCTCCAATTTAGAAATTCAACTTTTGGATCTGGACTATCGTTTTATTACAGCAAGTTAGTGCAAAAATTATCATCTCGAAATCATCTCTCACCCCTCCACATTAACCAACTACAGTGACTTTCGTTTACATGGCCCACTAATGCATGTCTTACACTCTACGATCTTTCAAGATATTTTCATTTACAATTTTCATTTTACAATTACAGCCCCTGCAGTTGCCACATTAAATCGACTGCCATTGCCACAAGTTTTCAGCTGCCTTGACTGACCCTATGTTCTGTCTTGCCTCTCCACTTCTCTGCCCTCATTAAAGGCACTGCTTAAAACTGACCTGTTTGATGTAGCTTTCAGTGAGTTGAGCCAATGTTACCTGATGTGGCTCAGTATCAATACTGGTAATGTTCCCAGGATGCCCATTGGGTGGTTAACAAGAATAAAACCTCCATAAATACATTGCTGATCCTGTTGGAAACTTTTCAAGGAGAGGTGAACAAGAGTAGATTCCCAGCAATCACAACGGGCAAGAGTAGTATTTTTTCCTTAATTTTGTTGTTTTGTGCAAAGTGGGTGACACTGAATAGGCCAATATGTATTACATATCCCTAGCTACCCTTGAGAAGGTGGGGGTGAACTGCCTTCTTGAACCGCTGCAGTCCATGTGCAGTAGGTAGACCCATAATGCTCTTAGGGAGGGAATTCCAGGATTTTGACCCAGTGACA